CAACCCAAATTGATCAGTCTGGCCCAGGCGACAGACCGTGGAAAGCAACGAAAAAAGGGTTTAAAACTTCTCTAATTTTAATCTCAAGCGTAACCGGAGTCGGCGTAAAATTTTTGCTGTGGAAAAAAACGATTAAGCTTTATATGACGACTAACTTCTGGTCCTTTTTTTCTTTGGAAATTTCCATATATAGGTTGAATGAAAAGATATTCGTGTCATTGATACCTCAGCCAATAAATGAGAGGCAAAACTGTTTATAACATTTGTTATCGCTAGAGATCGGGATTCTCTAGTTCCCGCGTAGAGCTGCCATAGATCGGGAACCGTGGTTTAGCGGTACAATATAACATATAGGTTTAGCAACTCTATTGACCGATCAGAGCGTGCGTAGTATCTCAGTAATTTNACGAAAAAAGGGTTTAAAACTTCGTTAATTTTAATCTCAAGCGTAACCGGAGTCGGCGTAAAATTTTTGCTGTGGAAGAAAACGATTAAGCTTTATATGACGACTAACTTCTGGTCCTTTTTTTCTTTGGAAATTTCCATGTATAGGTTGAATGAAAAGATATTCGTGTCATTGATACCTCAGCCAATGAATGAGAGGCAAAACTGTTTATAACATTTGTTATCGCTAGAGTTCCGGGTTCTCTAGTTCCCGCGTAGAGCTGCCATAGATCGGGAACCGTGGTTTAGCGGTAAAATATAACATATAGGTTTAGCAACTCTATTGACCGATCAGAGCGTACGTAGTATCTCAGTAATTTTATGACGGAAAATACACCACTCGTAAAATTCATACGAAACCACATCCGGGAATCAAGTGGGGTATTTTCCATATCCTCACTAGTGAAGATACCGATGATTTCACTAATATCAAGTTTGTCTCTTAAATTGTCCTTAAATTCGCTGGTGTATCATCGGAACATCTTCAGGTCTTCCTTGACAGTCTTCGGCAATCTTCGTCAATCTTCGGTAATCTTTGGAAATTTTCAGAAAATGTTCGGCAACGTTCGTGTGACCTTTGGACAAGTTTTGAAGAATCTTCGTGAATCTTCGGAAAGTAGTCGGAAATCTTCGGAAAATCGTCAAAAACGCCGTCAGTATGTCTATATATAATAAAAAGAACATTACACGTTAACTCGAAAATATGAATTTTATGTTCTCGTGGCAAGAACAATATCTCACTCGTTCCCTGTGCTCACTCATGAGATGTGTTTCTTGCCACTCGAACATAAAATCATATCTTCTCGCCACCGTGTAATATCCTCTATTTACAGTTTTATATAAAATACCCGTGACCTGCATGAGCCATGTGGTGTAATATAAGCTCCCCTATAAAGACTATAAAGAAACGAAGCATTTTTAGAGATTTGAAGACATTTTAAGAAGCAAACAGGTATAATATTCTTCTTTTCCTCCAGGATCGCGCCAAAGTATTTTTATCCTGCATTCACGCCGAGAGCCTCTTCGCAGGCTAGCCATAAAACGGCAAAGGTTTGTATAGCTTTGACAGGGCTATTACGCACCGTCAATGCCACCGCAATTATACCTGTAGCTACAGAGAATCACATGCACTGGTATTGTCGCGGATTTATAGGAATGANGGAAAATACACCACTCGTAAAATTCATACGAAACCACATCCGGGAATCAAGTGGGGTATTTTCCATATCCACACTAGTGAAGATATCGGTGATTTCACTAATATCAAGTTTGTCTCTTAAATTGTACTTAAATTCGCTGGTGTACCATCGGAACATCTTCAGGTCTTCCTTGAAAGTCTTCGGCAATCTTTGTCAATCTTCGGCAATTCGGAAATTTTCAGAAAATGTTCGGCAACGTTCGTGTGACCTTTGGACAAGTTTTGAAGAATCTTCCTAAATCTTCGGAAAGTGGTGGGAAATCTTCGGAAAATCGTCAAAAACGCCGTCAGTATGTCTATATAATAAAAAGAATACTACAAGTTAACTCAAAGATATGAATTTTATGTTCTCGTGGCAGGAACAATATCCCACTCGTTCCCTGTGCTCACTCGTGAGATATTTTTCTTGCCACTCGAACATAAAATCATATCTTCTCGCCACCGAGTAATATCCTCTATTTACAGTTTTGTATAAAATACCCGTGACCTGCATGAGCCATGTGGTGTAATGTAAGCTCCCCTATAAAGACTATAAAGAAACGAAGCATTTTTAGAGATCTCAAGACATTTTAAGAAGCGAATAGGTGTAATTTTCTCCTTTTCCTCCAGCATCGCGCCGAAGTATTTCTATCCCGC